GCACAGGGAGGGCTGCAGGAAGTAACCCTGGGGGCGGGCAGAGGAACGGCTCCCCCCCCCCCGCTCCACTGCCGCCTGCTCCCCCGAGCGCGCCACCGCTCCGCTTCTCCCTCTCCCTGGCTTGCCGCGCGAAGCAGCTGTTTTGCGGCAAGGGGGGGGGGAGGGGGCGGAGAAGCAGCGCAGTGGCGGCGCACTCAGGGGAGCTGGCAGAGCGGAGATGAGCTGCGGCTGTGGGGGGGTGCGGGGAGGGCTGCAGGAAGTAACCCTGGGGGCGGGCAGAGGAACCGCTCCCCCCCCCCCCCAGCTCACCTCCACTCCACTGCCGCCTGCTCCCCCAAGTGTGCCGCCGCTCCGCTTCTCCCCCCTCCCTCCCAGGCAAGCCTGGGCAGGAGGGGTAGGAGGGGAAATGCGGGGCGCCCGGGGGAGGAGGCGGGGCCGGGAATTTGGGGAAAGGGTTGGAATGGGGGGGGCGGGGGTCGCGGGAAAATGTTTTTGCTTGGGGCGGCAAAAAACTTGGAGCCGGCCCTGCCCCTCCCGCACCCCAACCCCAATGTTGTGAGCATTCGTGGCCCGCCAGACAAGTTCTACTCCCAGATGTGGCCCTGGGGCCAAAAAGTCCCTTCCCCCCCCAGACATTAGCTCCGGCACTACGACTCCAAAGGTGCCACCAGTCAGAGCAGTTCCAGGGCGCGCCCAGCGGACGGCTGCTGATGGGGCTCGCCGCCCACAGCCCCGCAGCGAGGGACCCCCGCGGCGGTTGCTCCACTAGCGGACACGCGGCCCTGGCCACAGTGGGGCGCGGAGCGGGGCAGGACTGTTTCCGCCGCGACAGTTCGGGGGGGGGGGCGCCCCCTGCGCGGGAGGGACTCAGTGCCCGGCCCGGGCCAGGCCACCTCGGAGCTGAGCCCACCTCGCCCCCGGGGACCCCTGCTGCGCCTCCGGACCCCACGGCGCCAGCCAGGCGCCCGGCCTCACCTGCGGTCTCCATAACAACGGCCGCGCCGCGGAGCCGAGGCCCCCGGCTAGGGCTGTCTTGCCAAACGCCTGATCAGAACCGACTCCACAGCCGAGACGTCCCGGCCCCACGGGCCGCGGACCCAGCCGGGCTTACATCTCCGAACTTCCCGCCCCGGCCGCGGCGCTGGCTGCAACGGGGGTTGAAGCGGCCCATTAGGCAGTCGACCCGCCAGCCCCCGGGTCCTTCCGCGCTGGTGTCGCACTGTCGCAGGCAGCGGCTGCCGCAACGGAAGGCGCGGAGCGCGAGCGTTGGGTGAGGCGCGCGGGCCCGGCCTGAGCTGGGCCATGGGGCCTCTTGGGAGGGGATGGGGGGCTGCGTGCTGCTGATGGGACGGTGTGGGGGGGAGGCTGGGGGCTCTGGACGAGGTGATGTGATGGGGGGGGATGCAGGGGACTGGCTGGGGGGATGGGGGGGACGTTGGGGACTGGGGGGATGGGGGGGATTGCAGGGGGCTCTGGGCGAGGTGATTTGGGGGACTGGCAGAAGGGGCTCTGGAGGGGTGTGTGTGCTGGGGTCTGGTAATCGGGGTGATTGGGGAAGGATGTTGGGGTGCTGGGGTCTGATGGAAGGGGTGCTGGGAGGACTTGGCAGAGAAGGGTTATCTGGGGGCACCCAGGGTGCTGTGATGGGGGCTTTGGGGAGGATGATGTGTGCCAGCGATGCTGGGTGCTGGCAGAGGGGACTCTAGGGAGGATGATGTGGGGGTGATGTGCTAGGAGTGGCAGGGGTGCAGTGTAGGGTGGGCTCTGGTTGCTGATTAACCAGGGGCTCTAGAGGGGGTGATGTGGGATGGGTGCTGGTGAAGGGGGGCCCTGGAAAGGGCCATGGGGGGGAGCATTGGGTGCTGGCGGAGGGAGTCAGTTATCAAATGTGTTTAACGAATAAACGTAAATGACTGGGTGGAGGGATGGGGGCGGGATGCAGCTTCATCCATGGTGCAGGAAAACAATTGCCTCGATTATTTTAGTTACACATGGCTTTGTCTCTCTTGGTACTTAGCATCATGGACACAGACCTGTATGATGAGTTTGGGAATTACATTGGGCCAGAGCTCGACTCTGATGATGATGATGATGAACTGGGCAGAGAGGCCAAGGATCTTGATGAGGTGCAGTGAGACTTGCGCAAAAAAATCTTAATTTATATTTTCACCAAAATAACGTAATACTGAAATGAAGGTTATTCATGTCTTAAGTTTTCCTCCTCCTGCTCTAACCTGTTTCTCCTGAATTTTAATCCTGACTATAGTTATCAACAGATCTCTGGTGCAAGCTGAAAAGTAACTATTCCTTCTGTGTCAGTGTCTCCTGTCCCCAGAAAATGATTTCTCTCTCTCTCAAAAAAAAAAAAAAAAAAAAAAACCACCCCATACCACAGCACACTTACTTAATGTTTTCAAGGAAAACTTTGATGTACCATTAAATTTTCTGATTTAGTAGATTTCTAAAAACATAATAAAAATTAAAAATCTAATAAGAAGCTTCCCTCTTGATAGCCAGAAAAAGACAAGGAAATTCAGCTTCCACTTGAATGTGTGAAAAAATAAGAAACTTTCTCTGTTTTAAGCGAGTTTCCCTGCTGTTGTACGCTTTCAAATAGGAGCTCCATAGCTTGTGTTTTAAGCAAGATCCTTACACTGAGTCCCTCATTATTTTTCTCATACTTTCCAGTGTCTCCCATTAAGAGATGTTAACACCAACACATGACACATGTTAATCATGTTTAATACATGACTGGAAGGTGTTCAGAGATTATGATTATGAGCTTAGTGTAGGAACGTTTATGGAATAGAGGAATATGAGTAGTATTTATATTTATGAAAACAGAAATAGCCACTGATATGTTTAAGAATTGCTCTTTCACTGTAAAAAATTGCTCTTTCACTTTCTTTGGTAGATCTTTAGTGACCTAAGAAATTGGAACTAATCACTGGGTTGTTCCTTTAAAGTAGTAGAGCTCCTAATGGTGCGAGTATTTATATGCATATGCAAAATAATCATTATTGTACTAGTGAAATCATAACTCTCACACGTGTGGGGTTTTGGGGTTTAATGCACAGGGTTTGGTAGCCGCACCTTGATGCAGAAGGGGTCTGGTGTGTCTCACTACTTGTACTGCCAGCCTTGGGTATGTTGTGCACATTGATAAAGGGTATTGGTATGGATTGCTTGCTGTGCAAGCATCACTTGCATGTGGCATTGGTATCTGTTTTAAAGATGACCTGCTGTTCATTGTGGCTATCTGGAATGGATTCAAGGTGGAAAAATGGCCTCCAAACCGAAAAGTGGGGGAGCCCCTCAGAACCTTTTTCTGAGCCTGACTTTGATCAGTGCCTGATACAGCAAGACTGGGACCTGCACTGTAGTTGCATATGATCTAGATTCTAGTGGTAGTTATGATGGCCGGATTCTTTTCCAGCTGTGTCAACGACGTGAAGTGTGACCATCAGCAAATCACCTACCCGCTCACCGCCTCCAGTTTCCTAACTGTAAAATAGGGATGATAACACTACGGAGTTTAATGTTTGTATAGTGCTCTAAAGAATAGCAAAGTATTGTTCTTGGTTTCAGCTTGATGATGATGATGATGACGATGATATAGGAGATCATGATGAAGATCATCCTGGAATGGAGGTGGTACTGCATGAGGATAAGAAATACTATCCGACTGCTGAAGAGGTTTACGGACCTGAGGTAGAGACCATAGTGCAGGAGGAAGATACCCAGCCTCTCACTGGTGAGTAATGATAGGTTAGTAAATTGTGGGTGTGATCAGGGAGGGCTTCTTAAAACAAACTCGTAAGGGAGAAGGAAAATAAAGTCTTGCTGCTGGCAGTATCGTTAGGGTTAGAGTTTTTTGGCAGTATCATTAGTTTCCTCTCTTCAGAATTCATTCTGGTTAGCGTTTTGTTTCTGTCATTTTAACAGAAGTTCTATTGAGATAGTTAAGAGAGAATAATTTTGTTCATGAGTTACTTTAAAGAAAGCAAATTAAAACTTATTTCAGTTTAGTTTCTGATCCTCTGCACAGCTTAAAGTTTTGTCTACTCTTTATTACAGTGAACCTCTAAAATTAGAGAGAATGTTGGGGCTGAGGGGTACTAAGGAATACCTTTTCATTTTTCTTTGTTTTCAGAGCCTATTATTAAACCTGTGAAAACCAAGAAATTCTCCCTGATGGAGCAGACGTTGCCTGTCACTGTATATGAGATGGAGTGAGTACTGTGTGGCTTTTTCTTTCAAAAGTTCGTATTTGGTTCAAGTAATTCATACAGTGTATCCTTCGCGTTCCCATGTTCACAGCCTGAGGGGAGATAAGAGGGATTGGTATGTACTACTCAGAGGAAAAAGCTCCTCTAGAGTGGAGGTGAAAACATCTTGTTTTCCAGCTTTCCAAAACAGCAGCAGTTTGGCCTTTCATTGGCATAGGGACACCATCGGCAGAACTGCAAGAGCAGCTGGTTCCCCTTTTTCTAGCTAGAGGGGAGAAGGAAAAAGGTACAAAAGGAATTGAAGCTTCAAAATGCATTCCACTCACTGCACTGCACAGCATGCATAGTGTCCTTACTTCACTAACTTCAGTCCTTAGTTTTCATTATCCCCCCAGTTAAGGTCGAGTTTGTCCGTCAGAAACCCACACCTTGAATTCACTTAAAACCTATTTTCTTGAGTCACTCAGAAAAAATAGAGAGAGAGTCCAGAATCCTGGATGCTAGTTACAGCTGTCCTACTGACTGTATGAGGCACTTTGTAGATTGTAAGGCCATAAAGGACCATTGTGGTCTTTGACATTCTATATAATGCAGTGTGAGGCATTAAGCAGATCTTGTAGAAAAACATCCAGTCTCAATTTAAAAATGTCCAGTGATGGAGAATCCATCAAAGCCCCTGATAAATAACTGAAGAGAAACAGTCAAAGGAAAGAGTCCCATTCAGTTACATCACATAAAGGCAGACAACTAAATATTGACAAATTTTATAAGAGCTTGTGTACAAATGCAAGAAGATGGGTGAACTTGAGTGCCTGGTATTAAATGAGGATATTGCTTTACTAGGCATCACAGAAGCTTGGTGGAATGATAACCAATGGGACATTGTTATTCCAGTATATTTTGTACCCTGGTATTACCAAGTAGGTCGCACTGGTAGGGGACTGGCACTATATGTGAAAGAAAGCATAGAGTCAAATACAGTAAAAATCTTAAATGGATCAAACTGTACCATAGAATCTCAATGGATAGAAATTCTGTGCTTGAATAATAAGAATATAGCTGTAGGAATATACTACTGACCACGTGACCAGGATGGTGATGGTAACAGTGAAATGCTCAGGGAGATTAGAGAGACTACAAAAACAGATAATGCAATACAGTGGAGTCGCATCATAGGTGCATTTAACTTACACGATTTTAACTATATACGCTCGGCAAAACAAAAAAAAAATAACAATTTAAATACTGTACCTGTAGTGCGGGCGATTCCGCCCGCCATTCCACTCAATGAACGTTTAACTATACGCGATTTTCACCTTACGCGCTGACTTCAGAACCTAACCCCCGCGTAAGATGCGACTCCCCTGTACTTTCAGCTATCCCCATATTGACTGAGTACATGTCATTTCAGGAGTGAATGCAGAGATGAAAATTTCTAGACCCCATTAATGACTGCTTCTTGGAGGAGTTAGTCCCGGAGCCTTCAAGGGGAGAGGCAATTTTGATTTAGTCCTAAGTGGAGCACAGGATCTGGTCCAAGAGGTGAATATAGCTGAACCACTCATGTGGTGATCATAAAGTGACCATAAAGTAATGAAATTTAGCATCCTTGTAAGGGGGAAAATACCAAAGAAACCCACCACAGTAGCATTTAACCTCAAAAAAGGGAACTCCACAAACACAAGGAGGCTAGTTAAACAGAAATTAAAAGGAATGGTCACAAGAGTGAAATGCCTGCACATTACTTGGAAACTTTTTAAAAACATAATAATAGAAGCTGCAACTATATCTATGCCCCAAATAAAAAAGGGGAAAAAACAGTAAGAAGATCAAAAAAAGCCACCATGGCTAAACAACAGAATAAAAA